CGCCGCCTGCCCGGGGGCCCCAGCGGGCCCCAGCCCGCCCTGCGGGAAGAAGAACTCGGTCTGCGGTTGCCTCGAAGCCCCGGCTGGGCCGCAGCAGCCGCAAATGGCACCTGCGTGGGTTGAACTGGAGCATCCACGCCTCTACTCTGTTTTCAGCCAAATGTTTCCAAGGTGAAGAAACAGTAGAAAGGCCGCTGCAAAAAGAAAACAAAACTCGAGACAGCGGCTCTTAGGTTGTTTTCCTGTGTATAAAATAGCATTATTCCAGCTTCCAAAAACCTTCCTGAGGTATATCTCTGTATCAGAGGTGCGTCTCCAGTAAGGTACTTCCTTCATGCCCGCTCTCCTGTGGGCCCACGGCAAGGCCGCCTGTGGGGTGAGCTGTGGCTGACAGCAGGAGAATGGCCCGGCGACGGCTTGAGGTATCCTGGCACTGAAACCCTCCCTAACAGCCTCTGGGCTTTAACGGAGGGATTTCTGGAGCTGGGGGGGACACACACTGCTTGCTTTAGTTGAGCGCCTGTGGTGTGGGGTTTGAAGCCAGTTAGTGTGCTAGCAGAGGGCGCTTCTCTTGGGATGCTGAGTAAGTCTTTCTCGTTTGCCTGGACAGAGCTGGGCTGGATGGAGTCCGTACCCTATCTTGATAGGCCTCCATCCCCGCTGGAGTTTTATCGAGAATGGGTGAGTCCGAATAAACCTTGTATAATTCAGAATGCCATCAGCCACTGGCCGGCTCTGAAGAAATGGACCTCAGCGTACCTCAGGTATGAACGAGCTTTGGTGGTCAGTTTTGGTTGATGTCATTAATCTTTGTTTCTATCAGTAAGATTAGCTCAGATTCCTCCCTGCTTCTGTATGAAGGTGTGCAGTCTTGCCAAACTCACCTGTAAATTTCTTCCTGCAAACATACTGTCCTGACCAGTTCCCGGGCAGTATGAAGGGTGGGTGTTTTGTCTGTGTGCAGCCAACAGACTCCGGCTATTGAAACCCAGTCCAATGGCTGTGCTCTGGCCAGTGCTCCACCCTGTAGCCTCCCAGTTGGAATGGGGCTGTAGCGCTGTAAGAACAGACTGACTTGTTTGTGACTGAGTACACCTTGTATTTTAAAAAAAAAAAAAAAAAACAGTAAGCGTTTTAATAATGACTGGGTTTTTTTTTAAAGTTCTTTTTTGAGAGGGGATTTCTGGTTAGACCTAAAATCTATGGGTTTAAAATTAAATTTCTCACAGAAATAAGGGCTGTTAGCCTCATGATGTGTGTGTCTGTCAGTCTCTGTCTGCCCTTTCTCCCTCCTTGATTGCTTTTGAACATACGGCTGCCCAGGTTTGGCTGGGTTGAGTGGTCCCGAGAATGTCAAGCTCTGCCATGACTCATGAAAGGAAGTGGCTGAAGAGGACCCTCTGCCTGCACGGAGGAAAAGGGACCTCCTTTGTGAACTCACCTATGAGACACAAGAGAATTTAGAGGTGAAAGATACTGTGGTTGCCTTGACCGCAATCAGAGCAGACTGCCAGAGTCCATATCAGACAGTAGAAAATCTAGTCTAGAGACACCCATCCACGGAAAGCCAGGCTGCTTATTTTTGCTGGCCATGAAACATGTTCTTTTTAAAGTAACCAGTGTCCAATATATGGGCCAATTGCAGGTGTGGCTGTAAACCTTTGATTTATTTTGCAGGGAGGTAGTAGGTCCCAAGGTAGTGAGTGTGGCAGTAACACCAAATGGTTATGCAGATGCGGTGTTTCAGGACCGTTTTGTCATGCCAGAGGAACGCCAAATGCCTTTCATGGACTTTTTGGACATTGTGGAGAAGAAAGTGACCTCTCCCAACGTATTCTATGTGCAGAAGCAGTGTTCAAACCTCACCGAGGAGTTCCCTGAACTTGTCTGTGATGTGCAGCCTGACATACCATGGATGACTGAGGCACTTGGTAAACCTTCTATTTCTCCTATATTCAGTAAATATTTTGTATGGAGCTGTGAAACAATCATGCGAGGTACATGGTGAATGTTTGTTCTGTTTCTGGATGCCACAGCTCAGTTTGGTTTCGTCCCCTTAGAAAGTAGAAGTGGGAAAATACTTAATAATAGAGTAATCCAAGTTTTGGGTTTGAGTTACTCCAGAATCAGTATCTCAAGTTGTGTCTTGGGACCATCACAACTGAAACAATGTGGTGGTAGCGCCATATAGCACTTCTTTTCATATAGTGGTTTTTCTCTGATTTAGAGTCATGTTTCGACTCGGATTCATGCTGTTGCTACCAAAGCTGGCGTAACAAACGAGCGAAACAACACACAGCCCCCACCCCCTTTGGTAAAATTACGGATATTTGTTTCTAGTTAAATGCTGTTTTGTTTCAGTTGGCTTCTATTTTACAGCATGTCTTTACTTAAAACGTGAATGAAAGAGATTTACTGTGATCTCACCGTCTTTTTGCAACTGTATGTAGACGTGCTGCAGTTTCTCTGTGAGCTAAGTCTTAGGGATTCAGAACGTGGAAACAAAGGGTTGTAACCATTGATTTGGGGAGGGATGATACTATGTCATGAAGTCTGATGGGCACTACAGTGGCTTCCAGTGTGGAAGGAGGTTGCTGTTGCTCACAGAGTGCTCCTTGCAATGAAACCTGTCATAGTTATGACGGAAGTTAAAGAATTTGGCAGAAATTGGCAGAAAATTATTTGAAACGCTTTTAAACGTGACACTTCAAATTCTTTTTCTGTTGGCAACATTTCTCTATTCCCTAACCATACAGGGAAGAAGCCTGATGCTGTGAATTTCTGGCTTGGGGAATCAGCTGCTGTGACATCTTGTACGTATTGTATGGTGCTGTAAGTCTTCTGCGTGCTTTCAGCACAGGTTTCAGCGGGCTTGTTTTGTGTTAGTGGCTCAGTAGCACCGTCTGTTTTTTTCTGACAAGACAGTTCTACTTTAACATGCTTTTTTGCATTCTGTCTCCTGCACTTCTGCAGCCTCTTGCTGCGGTGTCTCTGGGTGCATCTACCTGACACTGTGTCAGGCAAGGCACTGACAGTTTGCCTCAATGTTTGCTACAACATTGTATTGTTACTTTCCACTCCCAGTGGCTGCAACAGGAGGAAGCAGCCTGATAATAAGAGGACAAGCTGACACTTTCAGTTTACTGTAGTTTCTGATGTAGAGGAGGAAGTAACACTGATTTTCACTCTTTCTCCATATCTCTTTTTTTCTCAATCGTAGTACATAAAGATCATTATGAGAACTTGTACTGTGTGATATCTGGAGAGAAACATTTTCTACTGCATCCACCGAGTGACCGTCCCTTCATCCCATATGGTACATAATTTCCTATGCAGTATGTCTGGAGGTTGGAAGGAGGAGCGACTAAAATATTGAAAGATACGAAAAAGGAAGCAGAGATAACATTTTGAGGTTTATGCAGTGTTATGCTTTCCAGTGTGAACAGAAATCTCTTCTATTTCGTGCTGCAGGTAGTTTGTAATACAAACAAAGGTCGGGTTTTCCAGTCCTGTAAAGTAATAGGTTCATTGATACTCAGGACAGTCTCTTCAGCTTTAGAATATTTAAATTATTTAAGTATCTTGTCAGTATGGTAGCATGCCGTCTTTGATGTTTAACAGCTTTGGATTCTGCCTGCTCATTCTTTTCTCTAGGAAAAAAGCCAGGAAGCTGAAAAATAAGTTATAATTTAATGAAATATTCAAGTTACTAACTGAATCTCTGAAAACTGGAGAAATGAAAAAAGAGATTCTTACGGCAGCATTACTTCGCATTGCCCGTTTTCTGTTTCTTTATGTTGCTTTCCTATGTGCACAGTAGTAGTTTGTTATGTTGCAGTGTCATCTAGAAGATGGACAGCTTAACTTTATGCCTCATAAAATAAGACTTTATTTTCCCATTCCATGACTTTCAAACCTTTAGATTAAGTGAATGCAGAGTGCTGTATGACACTAATATAATTTTGCCTAGATATGCGTGCTGCTACATTATTTTATTTATACTGGTTTTATTTTGTTTACAGTCTTGAAATCACAGAATAATGGTTTGGGTTGGAAGGGACCTTTAAGATGATCTAGTCCATCCCCCCTGCCATTCACTAGATCAGGTTGCTCAAAGCCCCCATCAACCTGACCTTGAACACTTCCAATGACAAGGCATCCACAACTTCTCTAGGCAACCTGTTCCAGTGTCTCACAACCCTCATCATAAAAAATTTCTTCCTTATATCCAATCTAAACCTACCCTCTATCAGTTTGAAACTGTTGCCCCTTGTCCTGTCCCTATAGGCCTTGGTAAAAAGTCTTTCTCTGTCTTTCTTATAAGCCCTCTTTATATATTGAAAGGTCGCAGTAAGGTTTCCCCAGAGCCTTCTCTTCTCCAGGCTGAACAACCCCATCTGTCTCTGCCTTTCTACATAGGAGAGGTGGTGTCATGTGTGTGTGAATGTATGAAATACACGTATGTCATATGAGTCATACTTTGTAAAACAAGTTACTGTTAAAACATAGAACAGAGATAATGCTTTTATAGTGTGTAGTAAAAAGATGACTCCATCTTTTTGAACATCAGGTTTAAGGAGAGAAACTCTCTCAAGGGAAGGCTTAGAAAACCACATTTGCTGAAGCAGTGAAAGAAAAACAACCTGCAGTATCTGAAGCAGTTGATGAGCCCTATCGGATAAAATTAGAGTGAAAGGCTGGCCACAAGTCACTAATAACTCTTGTGAGTGCTATCTTGCTAGACTGACCTAAGAAGAAATGCCAGAATATAGAATGATGCATTTATGACTTCTGAAAGGGAAACAAGACAGTTACTGGAACAAAATAGGACCAGGAGTAAAATGGGTTTTGAGGAGAATAATTCCTGTGAAGAAAGAAGGTTGGACTTCCAAACAGGAAGGCAGTTCACTATTCAGACTGACTTAAGAAATAATAAAAATTAAGAAACTAGATAAAAATTGAAATGGTCAAAGGGAAGGACAGTAAATTGAAAATGGTTTTGTCTTAGTTTTTCTTTTACTTGGTGAAAGTATGACATGCCCTGCCATTAGTTTCTCTGAGTACTACTCTGAGTCGTGTCATTTAATTCTTTCTGTGGTTCCAGAGCTCTATCAGCCAGCAACCTACCAGGTGTCAGAAGATGGGTCATTTCAAATTGTGGATGAGAAGAGTGCAGATAAGGTAAAAAGTATATAAAGAACACAGTCAATACAGCAAGGATAGTTTTGGGCACTGCTGAGCCCTCAAACTGAGCATATTGGTTGATATTTAGAAATCCTTCATTACTGGAAAGAGAATGCCCAGATATTTCACTTGTATTTTACTGTTCGCAAAGGATACCCAGCTTCCAGAAAAGATTTTTACTGCACGCCTGAAACCATTGATATCATAAACTGTCTTCCTTGCACCAAACTTAAACAGATCCAGTAAAGGACTTTTAAATGAATCAATAACAAAGGAATTTATTTCATTAAGACTGAAGTAGACTCCTCTGCATTCACTTTCTTTGGGCCCTCTACTCAGGGCTAGATTTTGCTCTACAGCAGTATCACCCAGTACAATAAAAAAAATCTGTCTCAATGAATGAATTGTGTTCTCTTAGTAGTAGCAATATTTATTTGATTAAAATGTATAGATCTGGAGGCACTTTACAAAAACTCAGTAGCCTTTTGTATCTAATCTCTCTCCTTTTGCCTCTGCAATGTGTGACTAATGCTACAGCTGAACTTGAGCTGGGGCTTTTTCTCCGTTTCCAGAGTCGTGCTCATGGAATCTCATGGGAGCATTCCTGTAATGCAGTAAGGTGGAGTACTGAGGTTTATAACTCTGTAGGGCATAGAAGAAATGAATGCAGGCAAGAGAGATTTCCCAGCAGGAAGGGGAGTTTTAGCTCCTGGGGATAAAATTAGACCAGAGAGCTTTAGAAAAAGAAAGGAATTGCTAAAAAGAGCGGTGCAGGTAAAATACTGAAGTACTGAATGTAGGAGGAGCAAGTGACTCAAGGGGCTGGAGGTGTTCTGGAAGTATACCACGAGACTGAAATTTCATAGCTGACATTTAACACCTTTTCCCTTATTAGAAATGCTTCACTGAAGGAGGCAAATTTTTGCATCCTTGACCTATTCCCAGTTGAATGTGGAAAGCTGTGTAGCTGTACCTGTTTTGCTAGGCAAAATACATGTTTTGTAACCTAGTAAGTTTGGTTATCAGTTGTTTTTCCGGAAGCTTGCTGGATTTTTTTGCCAGGGTCAGTACCATATACATACTCTTTTGCTTTTAGGTGCCCTGGATCCCCCTGGACCCATTGAACCCGAATCTGGAACGGTATCCGGAGTATGCTCAGGCAAAACCTTTGCAGTGTACAGTGAAAGCTGGTGAGATGTTATACCTGCCTTCTCTCTGGTTCCATCATGTTCAGCAGTCACATGGCTGTATAGCAGGTAAAATACACAGTATTTCCAGATATGTTTTTGAACTGTGGTGGGTGTGCAGCTAGAGCAAAACAGCTACAGCAAAGCATAACTGGGACCAAAGGTTCCTTTAAGATCATCCACCTCCCCTCAGGAGGAAATAGCAATCTCGACAGATGCCATGGGGCTACCTCCTTGCAGTCGCTTTTGCTTATAATTCATAGCATTGTTGACAAGTGCTAGGGAGGTAGCAGAAGAAAAAGTCTTTCTAGTTGTCAAGTCTGGAGAAGGATAGGTAATTCACTGATCGTGATCTGGTTTCTGTTTATAACGTGGAGCCAAGCAGTTTGTCTGCCCAGCCTGCTGACTGCAAATTGGTCATCTACATACCTTTCACAAAGAAACTGCATGTCATGTGTGCTGTTACCACATCAGCAAAAAAGGATCTGGGGAAGAAAAGGAAACCAGAAGGAGTTTTAGGCATGGATATAGACACAACGTGGAAGATACTTTGTTGTCATGTGAGCTGTAATCTGCTCTGATCCAGTCTCCTACCTTGCTGATAAGCCTATGCTATGTTATTGTTCCCCTGTGCTTATCGAAAGTCTTGTCATCTCTTCGTAGGATTTTTCATCATCTCTCTCTATCTTTTTTTTTTTTCCTTCCTGAAAAGAGTTCCAGAATTTCAAGCATTGCTTGTTTGGTGCAGGTGGAGGGGTGGGGGTGATGCAAAGTATTTTCATTATATCCTGTAAGTTTTGCAAGGTTTGAGGAAGAGTTTTTTTGCTGTCCTTTACCTGGAATAATCCTGTCTGCCCAGGAAGAGTAAATACAGTATTTTGAACAACATAACATTAGTATTTGTGTAACACTGCAAATATTTTAAGCCCTTTTTTCAGTATTTGCGATACTGTGATAAAAAGACAAGCTAGCAGTAAAGCAGTATTTCTGATGCTCTTTTCCCAGTACTGCTGCATCAGTCCTTAAAGATTTTTTAGAAGTAGAATTGTTTCCAGTTGCAGGCCCCCGGCCACTCTCTTTTTCTCTGTCTAGCAGAAATGCTAAAGAGTTGATGAGTTTATTTGGCCTTTAGTCTGTTAACTGCACTACAGTCTGTGTACACTTGAAAAATCAATATTCTCTGGATCTGGTCCAGTGAATGTCTGAAGCTAGAGTATAGCCACCTCCAAGAACCGTTGGTACAATATTATACTGCTTGCCTTATTTTTTCTAGGAGACGTACACCAAAATTAAAATGAGAAGCAGAATTAAAGCACTGTCTAATTGATGACCGTTGTGAAGTAGTGGTGAATTTGCTATCCCTTACGCACTCAGAGGAAGAGATGTTCCTATCCAGATATTAAACTTTGCAGTGTATTTGGCATTTTTGGCCTAAATAGAAGCATACATTTTCATGACCGTTGTGAAGTAGTGGTGAATTTGCTATCCCTTACGCACTCAGAGGAAGAGATGTTCCTATCCTATTAAACTTTGCAGTGTATTTGGTATTTTTGGCCTAAATAGAAGCGTACATTTTCTGTTCCTAAACATTTTGCCAGCTTCTGCTCCAAGGAATCCCCAGTATAGAGTCTGAAGAGGAGTTGGTTTGGGTTAAGACAGAGTTGCATTGGCAGCACTGTTAAAGAACTCTAATGTTTGCTTACGTTGTTTTTGGCTGTAGTCAAAGATTTGCTCATTCCAAAGTGCAGTCAGTAATAGGGAAAAGCCTGTACTAGCTGAACTCTGTAAAACAGTCTATGAACACCTTTGTAATTCATTACATTCTAGCCTTAGAAATGTTCTTCCTTTTTCTTATCTCCTCAGTGAATTACTGGTATGACATGGAGTATGACCTTAAGTACAGCTATTATCAACTACTAGATTGTCTCACAAAAACCATGAAAGTGTTATAGCAGAGGTGGGAGACTTGAGCTTGTGATCTCTCTCTCTGATGTGATACAATCATCAGCATCTGTGACTGGAGTACAAACATGATTCAAGTGAAAAGAACTGAACATTAAATTATCCTCAACAACGTCTGTCAAACAGATCATGGCTATTTTGCTTGATTTCAGAGTCCAGATCAATTGGCCAGATTTTTTGGCTTGTAAGTAGAACGTTTGATAATAGGTCTTTGCATGTTGCCTCAGTGACGGTGAGCAAAATAAAATTTGAAGGGAGGCAATCCAGGTTTTGGAAATCCCAAAACAGAAGCCATGACTGACTGTTCAGATCTACCGCTTGTTTTCATAACAACCCAAGCGGACAAGGAAGAATCTGTTCTGCCACCCACCTGTGCATCAGGCTGCATCAGTCCAACACGCGTTCCGCTTAAGGCAAAAGTCCTGTCCAGTTGTAATTCTCTAAGTTCAGTGGCTGTCGTGTTTTGATGGTGAGAAATTACAACTTCTGCAATAAAAGGTCAGTTTAAAAGCTTATTTCTGCACTAATTTCTTAGTTTTTTTTCAAATGATGTGATGGGTGGAGGGTATCTAGGAGGACATGCAGAAGTCAATGCTGGCTATTTTCTGTGTCAAGCTACATGTTTTTATTGCTGATTTTTATTTCTTTCCACTGTTGTATTTAAATGTAGCTGCATTCTCTTACAACCTGAGTGGTGATTTTAGAGTTGCTTTGCCAGATCTACAGTCAATCTGCACATCACCTGTGGTCTCATGGCATGACATGTGATTCTGCAGCTTGTAGGCTCATTGATTGCGTCGTTCCTTTGCCATTAATTGCTGCCTAACACATGGTCAGGTGAGTTGTGTGAAGCAGGAGCCGATTTCTGCAGCCTTAATTCCCATTTGTATTTCCACAGAACAGGATGAGACTACTCGCGTGTCTGAGACCCGCAGGGTAGGACTAGAAGGCTGTTAAATATGCGGACATTGCAAAAAAGTAGTACTGTTGTTTATGAAAACCAAAAGTTGGTATTTATCATCAAATCTTCAAACAGTTCCTAAGGAACATTAGTGACGTGGGGGGAAATTTATTTTCCATGTATTAATCAGGAAAATGCAGATACCCTTTAGACAAGATTGATTATTGTGAAGAAAAAAGATAATTCTTTTACTTTGTTTCTTTTTTTTTTTTTAAAGAAACACAGTTAAAGCATAAAGCGTCATTTTACCTTGTGGTGCTTGTCCAAAAATTGCTGAAAACTCAAGAGGGAGTAAGGGCAGGCTTTGTTTCACAACTAGATTAAGATGTCACGTTACTTCAGGCTTTCCAGTTTGTTTGTGTTCACTGCACCTTGGCAAAGGTGCCCAAGCCAGTTCTGCAGTCGAATCTGGACTTTCCTGCAGCTGGGGGGAAAGGCAATTTGAATATATCTTTTTGTCACTTTGGGGTTTTTAATTTAGTCTCTCTCTGTAATCAAAAGTAAGACTGCATGCCAGGAGCAAATGACAGCTTGCGTCTGTGCAAGCGGATGGTGTTACTGTACACCTCTGAGCCAGAGCGTCTGGAGGGAGGCGTGCTGGGAACTACGTCTCCCAGCAGCCTGTGCTTGCCGGCTGAAGGAAGCAGTCACGGTGGTTCCTCCTGGACTTTGGGCAGAGATTTTAAGCCTGAGAAACGACAGGCTCCTGACGATCCTGTTTCACGCAGCCCGTGTCTCGCCACAAAAAAGGGCAGCTCCTCTCCCCGGCAGGAGAGCTGGGATGGCGGTGCAGGTGACGGTTCTGCCTTCCCCCCGGTGTCTGTTCGATGACCCCGTGCAGATCCGCGTGGCGGGGCACCTCTCCCCCGACATGGCTCACTCACCCT